CATGTATTTTTCACCTTCCCATCATCATGAAGAAACCAGGTGGTAGATTTTTCCTCCTTCTTGTTCACTTCTGAATTATAAATAAATGCATAGAATTCAAAATATGTATCTTTGGAAACCGAGAACCAAACTGTATTAGTCAGTGGAGGAAAGCTGTATTAAAGGACATGCATTAAGCAAAATGTCTAGAAAACTACATATACAGATTGAGCATTCCTTATCTGGAATTCTGAATTTATAAATACTCCCAAATCCAAAATTTTTCATATAGGTAGCTGAGATAATGTCATATTTACTTTCTGATGGTTCAATATACACACATTTTGCTTTATGAACAGTATTTTTAAATGCTGAATAAAACTATCTTTTCATATACAACTTGAAGATGTATATGAAACATAAATTAATGTCATATTCAGACTTGGGTCCCATTTCCAAGATACCTCATTATATATATACATGCAAATACAGGAAATCCGAAAATGGGGGAGAGGAGGGGTTATCCAAAATAAAACACACTTTTGGATAAGGTATGATCACTCTGTAATTGGAAATGTGTAAAAAATATTAATTTCCATAAGAGAAAGAAAAATGGTGCCTCACTATCTGACATAAAACAGGGAGGAAATTGCACGAAAGGTTGGAGAAATGCAACAAAATCCAGACTTATTATCTTCCTTAGTATGTACTCAGCAGAGAGGGTGTTCATCTCCAAAGTCCTGCCCTGAATGTTCAACCACTTTTATTAAGCAGTCAACCCCTATGGACACACCGTGTTGACTCTTGAGGAAACACAACCAGGATTCTGCTTTTGAAGTACATTCAAAATTATTTCCTGGTTCAGTGCAAACAAGAATGTTTGCTCAGCTTCATAACGTAGCAGTTCAAAGCCAATTTTTAAAGAATGTAAATCAGGACAATCAAGAAATACTAGTGAGACACCCCCCACCCCACCCCCCCCACCCCGTAGACACCTAATTCATATGGAGGGTTTATGTTGGATTATTCTTACTTTAAGCAATAATTAACCTGCTATGGTTTAGAATTAATTGGAAGTTGTGTTTTCATAAATACAAATGTAGAAGTAGGACCCTGAAAATACTGTATCTGTCTTTTAATAAGAGGTCTATGCAGTGGACCTCTTATCAAATAATACTTTGGGTACATGAAAGACTGTTAAAATAATAGAATTTTGCATCTTCCTTTTTCAAAGATGGTGAATCCATCCCAAGTGTTGCTGAACCTTTTGGGGGATACGGTTCAATCATTTCCAACTTAGGAAAACTCTAATGCAGTGGTTCTCAACCTTGCTAATGCCACGACCCCTTAAAATAGTTCCTCATGTTGTGGAGACCCCCAACCAAACAATTATGTTTGTTGCTTCTTCATAACTGTAATTTTGCTCCTGTTATGAATTGTAATGTAAATAGCTGTTATTCAGGATGTATTTTCATTCAGTGGACCAAATTTGGCACAAATACCCAATACACCAAAATCTGAATACTGGTGGGGTTGGGGGGAGTTTGTCACTTGGGAGTTGTAGTTGATGGAATTTATAATTAACTTACAATCAAAGAGCATTGCGAACTCACCAGTGATGGAATTGAACCAAATTTGGCACACAGAACTCCCATGACCAGCAGAAAATACTAGAAGGGTTAGGTGGTTTTTGCCTTGAGTTTTGGAGTTGTAGTTTACCTACCTCCAAAGAACACTGTAAACTCAAACAATGATGAATCTTGATGTCGAACTTGGTATGAATACTTAATATGCCCAATCATGAACACTTTTGGGAGTTTGGGGAAAATAGACCTTGACATTTGGGGGTTGTAGTTGCTGGGATTTATAGTTCACCTATAATCAAAGACAATTCTGAACCCCACCAATGATAGAATTGGGGCAAACTTCCCACACAAAACCTGCATGATCAAAAGAAAATACTGTGTTTTCTAATGGTCTTTGGTGATCCCCCTGACATCCCCTGGTGACCCCCCCAGGGGTCCCGACCCCCAGGTTGAGAAACGCTGCTCTAATGCAAGCTGATTGCAGAATTTGTTCAGAAGTTTGCCATTGCCTTGCTTTTGAGTCCAAGAGTGTGATTTGTTCAAGGTCAACCAGTGAGTTTCCAGGGCCAAGCAAGAATTCAAATCCTGGTCTCCAGAGTTGTAATCCAACACTCAAACCACACTGGCATCTTATATATCTTCTTTAAAGTAAATCTAAAATCTAGAGCAGACCCATCATTCCCACCTATCCTTATTCCCAAGAGAGTCAGCTGCTAACACTGGGTCCAAATAGCATAATCATTCCCCATTAATCCATGCACTGACCCCAGGAACTATAACAACCAACATCATCCAGATTCTGCTTTCCCACCTGTTTAAAATTTACACAAAGAAATATTTCAAATTGTTTTGGCAAGTGTTGTCAGATGGCTTTTACCCTACTAGATTCTAGATAAAGCCATTTTTTCTACTTTGAAAAAAAAGATGAATTAAGTAACTGCATTTTTGTGCAATCTATGGTGACAGAGATGGTATTATTGACTAGGAATGACAATAGAACAAAATCAGAGAGCAACATACATATAACAATGACCCTATTATGTGCTTCAGCAATATTTGATTCTCAATTTTTTAACTTGAACTTAATGATTTCTGGGATATGTTCTGGCCTACTGCAAATTCCAATGTTATTGAAGGAGACAAAAATGTTGACTGGAGAATTTGTGAATGCAGCTTCAATACCTAAATACAAAAAGTCAGGTAACACACAATCACAAGTAGTGGAATCTTTGTTTTGTCCTTTCAGAGACAAAAAAATGTAAAAAGTGTGTGTTTTAGTACTAATATTTCCAAAAGCCTGTTTTGGCATGAAACAAGTACAAAACAAACCTATCCGAACGTATCTCTGCCTATCAGCCCGCCAGGACCCTAAGATCTTCTGGGGAGGCCCTGCTCTCTATCCCGCCTGCTTTACAGGTGCAGCTGGCGGGGACGAGAGACAGGGCCTTTTCTGTGGTGCCCCCCCGGCTGTGGAACGCCCTTCCTATGGAGGTAAGATCAGCCCCCTCGCTAATGGTGTTCCGAAGAAGATTAAAAACTTGGATGTTTGAACGGGCATTCGGTTAAACAGTGCAATGAATGTGATGATTACAGGAATGGAAATTTGGACGACGGATTGGAGCACGACTCTAGTTATGAGATGCATTGTATTGTCTATTGTTGTGTCAATATTGTATATTATGCTTTTATGGTTTTAAATTGTATATCGTTGATTGATTCTTATCCTTGTTGTAAACCGCATTGAGTTGCCTGTTGGGATGAGAAACTGGTATACAAGTAAAATAAATAAATAAATAAATAAAACAAAATATCTGAGAATCTTTGTTTTTATTTATATGTAGAAAGACCTAACATAATTAGTATTTCGATATAGTTTCCTATCCCAGTTGTAAAACTGTTCCTGCTGAGGAAATTCTTCCCTAATGAAGGGCTATCCATTGTATGCTTCACTCACAAGCAACCGCAGGATATTATTTTGATATTGCAATAATCCCTGCAAGGAAATTAGCACATTGGCACACTGTCTGTTGGCTATTTTACCCAACACCACACTGCAGAAGTAACAGCCAGCGTATGTTGAACAGTGCCAAGATATGTTAATTATTTGATTAGCGGACTTTCTGCCAATTCTAAACGAATAGAAAAAATATATATCTCCAATCACATTTTGTTCAGTATGGAAATATAGCTTGGATAATATTGCCACTAGGCTACAATTGTAATATATACTCATGTACAAGTGGACCTTGTGTATACATTGAGGGTAGGTTTGGGGGCAAAATTATGGCTTTTAATATGAGCCAGGAATAAAGAAGGTCATTTCGCAGAGAGAGGAAAGCAGCTCATGGATTCAAAAAAGCCAGAAGCAGAGCCTTTGGGGAGAAACCAGAGGGTGGTCAGTGTTTCTTTGAGGTTCTCCTGGGTGGACTAAGCTCTTTCCTCTCATCACTCTTTTCAAAAAAAGGGGCATTTCCTTTTTTTGTTAATAATTAAGGTAAAGTATGTGCTTTGACCTGTGAATAAGCCGACCAAAGGATTTGGGGTTGATTTTTCAACTAAAATTTCTAGACTTATATGTGAATATATAGAATAATATGCGTTTCTTATGACATACCAATCCCTGTTCAGATAATATGTTGTCTTAGCATTGTAGCCCTAGACTTTTATGTCCTATTTTCTTGGTTTACTTGGCATAGATGGTCACACTGTACCTGTGATCTTAATCAGCTGGTCACTAACCATTTGTTCTACCTCTACCAGGAATGCACCATCCCACCAGATGAGGGTTGAAGATAGGAAGCTATATACAATATTAGTCCTGCCTTTGTTCACTGAAATAATTAGATCTAGTTAGTCCCAACTAATGCAATTCCACTTATTTCCAAAACTTTATGTACTTTATGTACTAAATCTAATACTAGATTTAGAACATGTTCAGTGATGTGCAGAATCACTAGCTTTATATTCCACATTTTTGTGCAAAATACAAACCACAATGTAGTAATGTTCTATATAAATAATATACATTTACAGACATATATAGATACACATATATTGAACATATGTATTAAGTCAGTTAGATTATTACACTATGTAACAAAAATTTTAAAAATGTCTGGTCCTGATTTGAAATTGTTGTTCCTGTTTAATTGTGCGGTACTTTAAAAGCAATTGTTATACTCCAGAAACTTCATTTTTGTGGCTGCTGCAAACTATGTTTAATTGGTTGAGACTATAACGTATTCATTGAAAAACTAAAGCAAAATGTGCTGCAGGATGTTTCGGAAAAACAAAGTTTTTACAGTTTGATAAACTTTTCCCATATTTTTATGATAGAACCAATTAGGAAATGACATTTATAACCCAGGAACAAACATTGTGTCACATAGTGCTATTATTATGGAGCAACCAAAAAGAAGATTTATTTCTACATACCGAGTGGGTAGTTTCTCAAAATCCACATCCAGGAACTGTTCATAGCTAGAAACAAAACTGTCTAGCCATAGCTTCAAATAGTCTGGGTCTTTCTGTGAAGGAAAATAGATGTATTAAGTTGAACGTCGTCCAAAAACATTTAAAAGTACATTTTCACTCCCCACAAAGAATTATATCATAATTATGTATTTCTTTGAACTGAGCCTAAATTAGTTTTTGCTTAATGTCTATTTCCTGATATTTGCTGCGAATCAGTCTATTTCTGACATTCATAAACATTTTCCCAGAGATATGGTTTCCTAAAACTTTTTTTCTAAAGTAAAAAAATCAGTTATCTTCTAATAATTAGTTGATTTACAACCTGACATATTATTGTCTTCCTGAAACCAATGGCCTTCTGATATTATATCCCTGCATCATCTTCAATGAGCAGAGACATAGTTAAAAAGAAAATAAGCAAACAAATAAAGCAACAAAATGACATTTATCTCTTGGCAGATTAGCTGCTTTGAGTCTCATTTGTGGAGAGAGAAAGCGGGGTATAAACAAACATAATGATGATGATGATGATGAAGAATGAGACATGAGAATGAACAGAAATATTTTCCTCTCTGATACAGAATACATGCACACACAAACAGAAACACTTGAGTTCCCTATTGAAAATCAATCTCAATCATCTAGGGCAGTGAAAAAATTTTATGCAAGACATAGATGGGCTGAAGAAATGGGGCCATTTTCTATATCACCATGCCAAACAAGACCAAAAAAAATGCAACCTCTCTTGTGGTTTCATTTTTGGCCAACTTGGGCAGTGGAGGTTAGGAGATACATGGAGGCAAAACATTTAGAGGGTTGGAGACAATCATAATCATCATCATTATTTATAGCCCGCCTCCATCTCCCCAAAGGGGACTCAGGGCGGCTAACATGAGGCCAAGCCCAAAATAATACAACATAATTAGACACAAAATAACAGGAAAATACATCATAACAAAATATATAAAATAACAGATAAAATAAACAATATAAAATGACATGATAAAATCAAACACAGAAGGCAGGCCAGATGTAGTGATGTATTGATATTGATGTTTAATGATTTGTGGTGCTATTGCTTTTAAATGCTTAATGATTTTGTATTGTGTATACCTAAATTGTTGTAAACCGCTCTGAGTCGCCTAAGGGCTGAGAAGTAAATAAAGTAAATAAATAAATAAATAAATATGAGATAGAATGTTAAAAGCTTAAAACCCTGGGTGATTTAAGGATAAAAAATGCATTTCTGAGAGAGGAACCCAAAAGGGAGGAGCAGTGGAATTTGGCCTTTATAGGGAACAGTGGGAGGTACTTTATCAAGGGGACAACTGTAGGTGGAAATAGGCAAATGGGCTGAGTGGTCACTCTCTGAAGGCACATCAGAAGAGCCAAGTTTTTAAAGCCTTCTTAAAGGCTGCTAGGGTAGAGGCTTGCCTGATCTCTCCAGGTAACAAGTTCCAAAGGTGGGAGGCCACAGTGGAAAAGGCCCTCTCCCTCATACCCACAAGTTGGGCATGTGATAGTGGACGGGGCGAGAGGAAGGCTTCTCCAGAAGATCGAAGAGATCATGTAGGTTTGTGATAGGAAATGCGGTCACAAAGGTAGGTAGGTCCCAAACCGTTTAGGGCTTTATATGTGATGACCTGCACCTTGAATTGGGACCAGAAGATGAATGGCAGCCAGTGGAGCTCCTTAAACAGGGGGTTGACCGCTCCCTGTAATTTGCCCCGGTTAGAAATCTGGCTGCCAAGCGCTGGACTAATTGAAGTTTTGGGGCCGTCTTCAAGGAAAGCCCCAAGTAGAGTGCATTGCAATAGTCCAATCTAGAGGAAACTAAGGCATAGACCACTGTGGTGAAGTCAGACTTCGCGAGGTATGGTCGCAGCTGGCGCATTCTTGATATTATTGCTTGCCTTCATATTGTTTCTGACATATGGTGGCTCTAAGTCAAGCCTATCATAGGATGAAGCAGATATACAGGTTGAGCATCCCTTAAATGAAATTCCCAAATCCAAAATACTCCAAAATCTGAAATTCTCTGCATGGGATGGCTGAGATAGTAACACATTTGCTTTCTGGTGGTTCAATGTAAACAAACCAAATATCTTGCACAAAATCATTTTAAAAAATTGTATAAAATTACCTTCTGGATATATATATAAAGTTCATATAAAACATAAATGAATTCTTTTTTGAGACTTGAGTCCCACTTCCAAAATCTCTCAATAGCCAAAAAAATCTGAAACCCAAAACATTTTGGATAAAGGATATTCAACATGTATACAAATGCGCATATATATATATATATATATATATATATATATATACACACACACACACACACACACATACATACATACATACATACACATACACATATACACACATCTCTCTGAACAGCCAAGCTTAAGTGGTCAAGGTGACTGGATAACGATTTTGGTAATGAGACACAGAGGATCTATGTTTTTATTGGTTTTATTACTTGTGGAATTTTATTTATGTTGAATGTTTTAGCTGTTTTTATACTATTGTGGGAATCGAATTGTGCTGTTTTGTAAACCACCCTGAGTCACCCTCGGGCTGAGAATGGCGGTATAGAAATATAGTAAGTAAGTAAATAAATAAATGATAAGGCAAACCCTGCAAAAGGGACAGCTATACTTCATAAGTAGATATCTTTCACTTTGCTTCTATGGTCACAATCAAACAGAATATTAATTCGAAGTTAAATTTGAACGTAGAGCAACTAAAACAATCACAGATCACACCATATAGTATGTTTTAAAGATCTTGTAAGTAATTTGCGAAATGGAAAAAGAACAACAAACTATATAGGAGAGCAAGCAAAACCACAATCCTCTTGACAATACTGACCCCATATCTACTGAAAATATGTTCCATATTTTATGTGGATATGTCAAAGCACAGAAAATCCTACTGAAATGGAGGACTTCTGGCTTAAGAATGGCATAGTCACACTGGAGGACGAGAAAATGCCTAAAAAGGAATATTTCTGTCAGATGTGGATAAGTGAAACCATGGATACTGGTCCTGTGGATGCAGGGGTTGTACTGTATTAATATCATAGTTTTACTGGAAACACTGACTAATGGCGCAGATAGCCATTGAAGTCCAAGAACTTCTCAGAGGATGTTCACCAGAAAATAAGACAATCCCTTAGTAAAAATAATTCATCTGAGTCTTCGCTTCCTGAAGAAAAAGGCAAGGCTGCTGCCAAGAGTTGAATCGTGCTTCAGTGGCAGTGATGGGTCAATGACATCCATCACACTTGAGGGAGAAGGACATGGATTAATTTTATGGCAAGTACAGCTCCTCCACATGATCTTCCTCATTCTGTCTAATTCTTTCTATATGACATTGCCAGGTTTTGAGATCATTGAGGAGGGAGGCTTTGCCCCAGTCCTGAAAGCTCCATATAAGTGTTTGATATGGACACGAGAGAGGGCTTTCTTCGTGGGTTTTTCCAGAGTTAGAGTGCCCTCCCACAAGTTGGCCCCTCGCTGTTCTCCTTCTGCCAGCCCCAGTTTTCATTTATGTATTAAATGCCATTAAATTGTTTTCAATTTAGAGCTGTTTATAATATAATAGCTTAGGGTTTTCAAAATAATAATCATTTGTTTCAGATACACTCTATATTAATCAGTGCTGTAAGCTGCCATGAGTCTAGTAGCAGGAAAAAAAATACAAGATAAAAACAAAATTAAATAACAAATAATACTAACCTAGCCCTTGGAGACTCACCCCCACACAGAGGGAGATTAAAAAGTCACTATGTATTCTGCCAAGAGCAACACAAAATGGATAGTCCTTTCCTAACATGAGAAAATTGCTTGGGCGTGGGAAATTGTGTTTTAAATTGACTTTTAAAAGGAACCTTGGCTGTGCAACCTTGTATCTGGAAGCAATATGTTTATCCTTGCTTTCTTCACCTTTTCTTTTTTTAAAGAACATTTTCCAAAGAGCAATACTTCCAAGGATGGGTTTTTTACAGGGAGGAAAGAAGGAGTCATAGAACTGGAAGAGACTGCATGGGCCATCCACTCCCCCTGCCATGCAGGTAAACACAATCAAAGCACCATAGACAGACAGCCATCCAGCATCTGTTTAAAAACCTTGAGAGAAGGGAGGAAGGGGGGACGGGAAAGAATTAGATGGCCATATATTGAACTCAGAGAAGAGTCCAGTTAGTGATAGCCATCATTACATTACAACATCTCAAACTGTTTAAAAAAGTTGTGAAAATACCAAAAAAGGACTCATTACAGGCAGTCCCCGATGTACAAACATAGTAATAATAATAATTATTATTATTATTATTATTATTATTTATTTATACCCCATCATCATCTCCCATTGAGACTTGAGCGACTTACAAAATAGCACACAAAGATGCCATACATAAAATGCATAATATATAAAAAAATATGAAAACAATAATAACATTATATAAACCAGGTATATACATTAGATAAACCAACCTCTATTAAAATAGAATCAGTAATCAATATAGCAGTCCAGCTGAATGCACAGAATGTAGATATAAAGTGCTAAGTGATTGGCAATCAGTTCTGGTTACTGTCTAAACATTATCAAATGCCTGCTGGAAATAAAGAAGTTTTTAACTTTTTCCTAAAGAGCTGTAGTGTAGGGGCTTGTCTAAGTTCACTAGGGAGGGCGTTCCAGAGCCGGGGGGGGGGGGACACCTCCAAGAAGGACCTCTCCTTCGTCCTCACCAACCGCACTAAAGACAGAGGCGGGACCGAGAGAAGGGCCTCCCCGACAGATCTTAGAGCCCATGCTGGTTCATAGTGGAGATGCAGTCATGAAGATAGGCTGGACACAAACCAAACATCCAACTTACAAATGATTCCTAAGTTAAGAATAGGGGTGAGACAACAGGAACTGAGAGAAATCTACTCCTCGGAAGGGTAATTCACTCCTGGAAGAGTTATCATGGGGAAAAGGTGTCTCTACTGAAGCTTTCTCCTTGTTTCCACAACAAGCCAAATTTTTCAAAATACAATTATCACAA